CAGGAGCCAAGACATCTCAGTTATGGGATTTTCAGCCATGACTCACCAAGACAGGTGTGTACTTCCTGGTTCTTGTAAGCTGCATGCCACAAGAAGTTGCAGGTGATGGCTAGAAATAAAGGCTTCTCAGTTGAGGCAGTTCAGCTGTGGAAGAAACGACAAGAACGGTTGTGACCTGAGTCAAAGGCCCAAGTCTTTGGGGCATTTATACACATACCTTTATCTGCTCCAATGCGCTGGAAATCCAATGTGTTGGAGCAGACTCAGTTAATCGAGTCGGGAAAGCAGACAAACTGACGCACCCGGCACTGCGCCGCATACGTTTGTATAAACAGCAAAGTGAACATCAGCATACAGAAAATGGTGGTGGTGCACTTTTGAACTAAAACTCTCTCGATGCATTTTAGTTCAGAAGCGTGCTGCTGCTATTTTCTCAGCACTGACGCGCATTTCACCATTTTTACAAATGTATGTGATGCAGTGCCGGGTGCTTTTAAAAGTGCTCAGTGCTGTGGCACATACATGTGTACAAATGCCCATTGAGAGCATACTGTGAAACCTACCTTTTTTTGAGAAACCATTCCCACCATGACTGGGATGTTTAAAGTTTTTTTTTGGTTTTTAAAGGACACCTTTAAAACATGGTTGAAAGAATAGCAAATGTGTTATTGAAATCAAATGTTGCAGCTCCAGCTGCAAAAAAAAATTGCAGGGTAAAATTTAATGTTTAGATACTCCTGCTGGTTATTGTTCATGGTTTCATTATCCTCTAAATGTTTAGTGATTTTTTTTTCCCCCTTGAATGTTTGTTCCATTATTTTGTTAGAGACGGAAATAGAGGGGCTAGGAAAGATTGCTCTGAAGAAAACGCTGAAGTGAGCCAAACATCAATGGCATTTAGTTAGAAGCATCTATTTAGTTGCATAGAACTGAAGGAATTCATTTTAATTAATGGAAGAATTCTCTTCAGGGCACTCTTAGAAAAGTAACCAAGAAAATATAATTGTAAATTATTTCCCATTCTCTGTTATTCACATGGAAGTTTTTGAAGGGCATGTTTATACCTCCTTTCTGTAGTTAGAAGATAGGTTTTCTTGCCATTTAGGTAAAAATAACTTGAGATGACTTCCTTTTTTAAATTTTAAAGTCCCCTGCAGGATTCAAATCTGGCATAGCTTTAATCAGAAGGGGAAAATGGTATGACTTTTCCCCCATATTCCTATACTTCACATACCTACTTTCTACAAACTGAAACTTTCTATTTATTTACACTTCCAAAAATGAAGTAGAAAGACACTTTCAAATATATATATATATATATATA